ACTACAACTTCCACCTCCCGAGTTCAAGCGATTCTCCTGCCTCAGCCTCCTGAGTAGCTGGTACTAAAAGCACGTGCCACCACACCTGGCTAGTTTTTTGTATTTTAGTAGAGACAGGGTTTCACCGTGTTAGCCAGGATGGTCTCAATCTCCCGACCTCATGATCCACCTGTCTTGGCCTCCCAAAGTGCTGGGATTACAGGCATGAGCCACCGTGCCCAGCCAGTTCTTTACCACATATGTATTGATGTTCAGGTGGTCTTTTAGCAGCAGGAGGGCCATGCCAGTTTAGGAAGCATTTTCACTGGTAAGGTTTGCTAGGATCTTATTAGGTATTTTGTTTTGTTTACATCTGCTGAATAATTTTGTATTTATTGCAGAACCATTTTCTTTAGTAATAGAAGTCAAGTCAGTGCTAAAAAGTTAACATGATTTAAGAGCTTTCTTTTTGTGTTTACTTTAGAAGACTATGAAACTTTTTGTTGGTATTACTTAACATTTAAAATTCAGCACTTCATTTCCCTACCATTTGACAGCCTTCCCCATCTCCATAAATGGCACTATTATTAATGCAGTTGCTCAAACCAAAAATGTAGGCTGTATTAATTCTTCCCCCTCATTATGTTCCACATCCAATTTACCAGCCTAGTTCCCCTTTACCTCCAAAAACACTGGGCGAATTCTCCTATCTAACCTAATAGCCCCTAACTCCTGCACTCTTTAGTCACCCTATAATCCATTCTTATCCACCCCACCACCAGGCTGATCCTTTTAAAAGGTGAATCATGTCATATTCACCCCAGCTTAAAGCATAATGGCTTTCCATTGCACTTGGCATAAAATCCAGGCTCCTTGGGGTAGCCTGTAAGCCTTACATGATCTCTTTTCTGCCTACCTCTGACCTTATTGTGTACTTACTGTGCCCACCCTGCCACCATACTTTTAAGTACCTACCACACTGGCCTGCCTTCTGTTCTGTCCCTTATGCCAAAGCATTTCCTGTCCCCTTGTCATTTAGGTCTTGCTCATATGTCACCTTCTCAAAGAAGTCTTCTTGGTCCCCTCTAGCCCATCATTCTCTTACATTTTCATAGCATCTATCTTGATCTGAAATTACTTGGTTTATGTATTTTTTTTCTTCCTTCTTCAGCACTTATTAGTCCTGTGAAAATAGAGACCATGTCAGTCTGTTTTCTTTCTCATCCTTGGTGTCTGAAGTAGGTACCGAATATGTATTTGTGAATGAAGTATTTATAAAATAACAGTTGATTTGAATTTATGCTATATTATTCCATGTTCTGGTGAAGATTCAAAATGGCCTGTTTAGGAGAAAGTGAAATGAAGAGGACAGTAAACTAGCAAAACTAGAATCATTATAAATCCTTTTGAGTATATTGTTAGAAATATTTTCTTAAAAAGCTCTGCTTTAAAAACATTTTCCCATTAAACAACATGTACATATGCCTCTATAAGTAGACCTAAACATGCTCTGTATTCTTTTGTAAACTTGTTAAGTGTTAGTAGATGGTTAATAAATGGTGTTTCTTGGCTAATTATCTGCAAGTTTGCCTAGATAACTTAGATTCGTTGGCTGTATTCTAAAACAATACTCTTAAGGTTCTCCAAAGATTTTTAGAGTTCATACTTTGTTTCTAATGAAGCAGTTTAGACAGTTTTGTATTTTAAATATTTGTTTTCAGAGAAGGCATTCTAAGTAAAGGTAGGTTTTAAAGTACTGTAATTAGAGAACATAGCGGAAGCTTTAAAATTGTAAATATTTAATTATTGTCCAGAATTGGAGCTGTATTTGTATAAAGGAAAATTTTTAGTATACTTTTAGACGGAGTTATGGAGTTAAATAGCTTAGAGACATTTCCATTTAGATTTGACTCTTCATTTTCTCAGAAAAAGAAAATAACTTGCCTTCTAGTAATTTTAAATCTGATATAGAATGCACCATTAAGTATCTGAACAGTAAGGGTCAAACTATTGAGAAATAAAACTATGAATCAGACTTAGAAACTTGTGCTATAAGATCCACACCTTTTTTCAAGTTTTACTTCATCATGTGTGCTTTTCTTCTACCTCACTACTTAGTCCCACTAAAGAAGTTGGAGTTATTTACATTGTAAACTGGATATTTTAATTTTTAGATACATCTTGGGTGTGTTTTTAGGTAGAGGTGTCTTTTTCTTCAGTTTCATAAGTAGTTGAAGTAGTGGTCATATTTATTACTACAGACTCATTCGTAAATATATTTGTTTTTGCATTTTAGTGAATTGACATAAATTTCATTGCTGTAGATTCTGTATTAGCTACCTTGCTTAGCTACTTCTTAAATTTTATTAAAGTGGGATCAGCCCCTGGATTCTAACCTTAATAAGCCCTGACATATACTTCCAAGTTTTGATGAGACTTCCCTGTACCTTTTAGTGTACTGCTATCTATTATACCTGAGGAAAACAGAAAGCTCCTGGTCTCGTGCTTGACTTAAACTCTCAGATCACCTGTTACTATAAAGATTTACCTCCAAGGTTGTCTGTGTGCTGCATTAGGGGCTATTTTTGTAGAATTGCAAGTATGCTACCATTGGCAAGGAAACAGCACATTCATTCAGAAACATCAATGGGAATATATTCGTCTTAGGATTCTTGTACTAAGCTATGAAGATTCTTGAGGATAGAGCCAAGTTTTACTGAGATTGAGACTGTGTACCCAAAGACAGCATTGACTTTCCTAAACTTGAGATCAAAGCTAAACAGGAAAAATGGTTTATGTTCACAGTGATCACTCATGAAAAATGGTCTGCAAAGATTTATTCCACCATTGCCATGAGTCACCCTATACCTTAAGGCACTATTATTCTTAGTCTTGAAATTGGGAAAATACACATTATTCTTCCACTTTATTTTTTATTGGTAAAATGTTTTAATATGGTTAAAACATGGAAATAAATTCAAAGTATAATGAACACTCACTTTTTGCTTTTTCTTAAAACAAAAGTAGATAAATTTTTTACGTAGTGGCTCTTACCCAAGTTCATGGAAAAGAATTTTGTGCTTAAGGAAGACCTCTCATATTTTAAACTCGCAAGGATTTGATGTTTCATTGTATAAGAATTTATTTTCCAATTAGGTGGGTGATTTGAGAAAAAGAGATTACAAAACAGGATTTTTTTTCCTTTGCTGCCGCTGCTGTTGCTGTCATCCAGGTTTTCATAGTGTCACTATATACAAGTAAGGTAGTCATGATAAGTCATTGACTTTTGGAACATATTGCATTGAGATATTAATAGTACCAAATTCTGCTGTCTTTCAGTTCATTCTTTTGCCCATTAGGCAGCTGCTTCTCTCTCTCTTCGCCTGAATGAAGGGACTGTTCCCCAAAACCAAATGAAATACTTTTCCAACCTAGAGGCCTTGTAGTAGGTTTAATGTGCTTGTATGTAAGATTTAATGCTCTCCTGTGGTTTTAAGATACTGAACTATGAAAATATCTTAGTAAGATACTTATTTTTTGTTTGATATAGCCAGGGAAAGAAACTGGTTAATAGCAAACAAGAAGTATAGTTTCTCTGGTTTTGGAGTAATTTCAAGCCTTTTCTGTTGTGATTTATAGTCTGCTCATCGGTGTTTTCTAACAGAAGTGTTTTTCTTTACATAGGTTACTCACTATAAACAGTATCCACCCAACACAAGCAAAGTTTATTCCTACTTTGAATGCCGTGAAAAGAAGACAGAAAACTCCAAATTAAGGAAGGTGAAATACGAGGAAACAGTATTTTATGGGTTGCAGTACATTCTTAATAAGTACTTAAAAGGTACTACTTTTCCTAGTATATTTTAAACACTGCTTATTACTCTAACAAATCTATTAATTTGGATGCATTAAATCTTATAATTTGGTGTGTTTGTGTTTAATGTTCTAAGTATGAGAAAAGTTTTCTGAAATAAAAGGTTTTTTGTTTTTTTGGAAACCGAGTTTTGCTCTTGTTGCCCAGGCTGGAGTGCAATGGCACAGTCTCAGCTCACTGCAACCTCCACCTCGTGGATTCAAGCAATTCTCCTGCCTCAGCCTCCCGAGTAGCTGGGATTACAGGCATGCCCCACCACACCCAGCTAATTTTGTATTTTTAGTAGAGATGGGGTTTCTCCATGTTGGTTAGGCTGGTCTTGATCTTCCGACCTCAAGTGATCCACCCGTCTCCACCTCCCAAAGTGCTGTGATTACAGGCATGAGCCACCGTGCCTGGCCGAAATAAAAGTTTTGAAATGAGTTTAGAAAAGTCGGTAATTTTTGGAGGCTAATCTGGTTTCTTATACTTTAGTCATTAATTCAAAGTAAAGGATTTGTTACTGAACTGGAAACTCCTTTTGAATTATGGTAGCAATCATAATTAGAATGTTTTTATATTAGCCAGTTTTTTTTAAAAAACCCGTTTTTAAAAACTACCTGTGTCTCTGGACTTAGTTGCAAATGCATATTAAAACAAAAATCCCCCAAACAATTTCTGTGCTTTCTTATTTGAAAGGCCATTTCTAATCCATTTTTGTAATGGTATTTCTAGGGGGAAAACAGTTCCCAAACACATTATACATGTTGGAAAAGTTTATCTCTAACCTTTTGAATTAAACATAATTTCAGAATTGAATACAGAGTAAGCTGAATTTTAGGCAAATAACTCTTTTCTATAATATTGACTCTTTTAAGATTAGGCAGTTCAGATAGTCTTATACTACTGAAAACCTAGCTAGATATCAGAAGTAATTATTAGTGGCAAGAATACCAAAGTTAATACAAAAGTTTTTTTGTTTTGTTTTTTTTAGACAGGGTCTCACTCAGTCACCCAGGCTGGAGTGCGGTGGCGCAATCTTGGCTGTCTACAGCCTCCGTCTCCCAGGCTCCAGCGATCCTCCCTGCTCGGCCTCTCAAGTAACTGGGACCACAGGCTCACACCACCATGCCTGGCTACTTTTTGTATTTTTTGTAGAGACAGGGTTTCACCATGTGGGCCAGGGTCCTCTCAAACTTTTGAGTTCTCAAGTGATCTGCCTGCCTTGGCCTCCCAAAATGCTGGGATTACAGACATGAGCCACCATGCCTGGCCCCAAGATGTTTCAAATGAGTTTACTAGTTAACTTGTATTAAGTTACCAGAGACTGATAGCACACTTTAATTTAGCCATACAACTTAAGAACTTTGTAAAATATTATTATTAATTATAACTAAAATGTATTGATTACCTATTCTAGGCCAGCATTATTGTAAGTGGTTCATATGTCTTAACTCATTTTGTTCTCACAACCATCATATAAGTGGGTACTCGACTTTATCCTCATTTACGGATAAGAAAAGTTAATTAAAAGTGTGTTGTTTGTGGGGGCAAACATTTAGTAATCGTGGAAATTACTGGCTTATCAACCCTGAAGATGCCACATTCTTTACGAACGAAGTGAGAAGGTTCATTTGGATGTAAGAAGCTTTTGAGTCATCTCAGAGTTGAAAAGTACCAAAATTAATCGAGAGAAAAAATTAATATAATTTTTAAAAGCTATGCAAGTAATAGTTTTTTCTATTGCACATCTGCTTTTATAATAAATTAACATTTATACTTTGAGTGATTAGAAGTACAAACTCCTTTTCTGACTCTGCTGTTGATTCTGGGTGAGTCATTTAACCTCTTAGTTGTATTTTTAATCCATAGAATGGGTGAAATAGCCAAAGTTATTAATTCTATGATAGTTCAGCAACTCACAGAATGCACCTTTAGAAATGTAAACAGGATGTGTATATTCTTTTAGGTAAAGTAGTAACCAAAGAGAAAATCCAGGAAGCCAAAGAGGTCTACAAAGAACATTTCCAAGATGATGTCTTTAATGAAAAGGGATGGAACTACATTCTTGAGGTAAAAGATGGTTTCATGTTTTGGTCTGTTTTGGTTTTTCTTTTAGTTCAAAACTTCTTGCAAAAGAATTTGTTTCTGTTTTATTTTTATTTTTTTTTGAGACAAAGTCTCACTCTGTCACCCAGGCTGGAGTGCAGTGTGGCACAATCTTGGCTCACTGCAACCTCCGCTTCCTAGGTTCAAGCTATTCTGCTGCCGTAGCCTCCTGAGTAGCTGGGACTACAGGCACACACCACCACGCCTGGCTAATTTTTGTATTTTTACTAGAGATGGGGTTTTACCATGTTGGCCAGGCTGGTCGCGAACTCCTGACTTCAAGTAATCTGCCCACCTTGGCCTCCCAAAGTGCTGGGATTACAGGTGTGAGCCACTATCCCCAGCCAGAATTGAATAGGAGATTAGAGTATCATTACAGTTCTTTTTTGTTTGTGATCTGAATATAATGACTATTTTAGACATCCTTTTGAAAAGTTAAGGTTGACATGTTATCCCTCTCCCCACATTCCCCATGTTACATCATTAGCATATAGAATCTACAGCAAGTCTAATTAATAAAAATGAATTATAACTTAAATAACATTTTTGAGAAAGAATTCATTCTTGAAAATACACTATAGGTAGGAAAGAGCATGGTTATTTGGCAGTTTCAAAATGTAGATCTGTTTTCTTGACTGAAAATAGATGCTGTGAGTCTATCACTACACACAGTTCTGGGAAGTTTCTCACTGAATAGTGAGAATGGCTTGGTGCTGATCCAGAAAGTTGATTTTTAGTAGTCTTGACTGTATTATATTTATATCTAGTATGTTTGAATTTATTGCTTAGATATCAAGGCACTCAAAGACATGGTAATATAAGAGTTGAATATCCCGTGGTGGTTTCCTTTTATTACAGTGATCAGTTGGGAATGGAATCTCTTGGTGTATCTTGATGTTGAGTGTTACTTTAAGTCTCACAAACGAAAGTTTCTTACATTGAACAGACTGTCAAACATAGAATAATTAGAAATACTTTAACTTTCATGCCTATATGACAATACTGAGCTATACTATTTGGTACTTATGGGTCTTGAAAAAGCCAGGTAAGCACTCTGCGCTGCACTTTTCCCGAATCTTAAATAAGGTCAGTAGAATCTGTGAGCTATCACCTGCACTTGCTCCATTTCTCTTCTATGAGGTTTGTTGTAAGCATAAGTACAGTAATAAGTTTATGTGCTATGCTTATTACTATACTGTCCAGTGGCCAGGGCAGTAAGTCGTTTGATTATATGATCAGAAAATCTTGGGGAACTAAAGGTTCTCTAGAGATAATCTGGTCTAACCCCATTTTACAAACAGAATCTGAGACCTAGAGATGGCAAGTGACTTGCCCAAGGTCTCCCCAGTGCTTTTGAGTCCAAACTAGAACCTGTAGGGCAATGTTCTTTTTGCTGTACACTGTGCCTCCAGTGCTTCTTTTAAACAGATTTTTCTTTTATTTAATTACCTTGTCCCAAATCACATAAATAAATTATCAGGATTTCTGAAGCAGCTTTCCTTCCTAGTGAATAGTTAGGTACAGCTTTTAGCTTTAAAAGGCACAGTGTCACATAACAAATAATCTTCAGCCTAATTTTTAATTTTGGAGGCAATTATTGCATTAAGAGGAAGTCAGTTAAGTCAGACTTGAGTGTTAATTGCCAAGATTCTGCGTTTGGTCTGTCTCATAGTTTCATATCCACCACCAGAATAAAGAGGGGGAACCTATTTTGTTTCTTCTGCAGGGATTTCCCTAGCTCTTCTTCTCTCTCGTTTTGTTTTCTTTTGTTCTTTAATAGCCGTCCTTTATCTTTCAGTCTGCAGCCTTTATTTTGTGAAAATGACGAATTTAAAATAAAGATAGTGTTCTTGGAATACTTTTAGAATATGTTGGAATAAACGCATCCTTTTTCGTTTTCTGAAAGAGCAGGGAAAAAGCAACAGTTTTGTTTTGATCAGTTTGGAATTTTCTGTCACTTGTAGTGATAAATGTTCTTAGCAGAAGCACATGGCATCATTAAACTTAACAATATCAGTACCTATGTTAATAATTTTAACTACTTTTTAGAAGGATAAGGACATTCTGACTAGATTACGGTAACATCTACAATTGCAATTTCAATGACAGTAAATTTAGATTCTATAAAATGTAAAGAACCTTTAGTAAAACAGCAGGTAATTGAGTGTCATCTGTTGAATAAATAAATTTATCATTTTCTCCTGCCAGAAATATGATGGGCATCTTCCAATAGAAGTAAAAGCTGTTCCTGAGGGCTCTGTCATTCCCAGAGGAAATGTTCTCTTCACGGTGGAAAACACAGATCCAGAGTGTTACTGGCTTACAAATTGGATTGAGGTAAATTGCTTTTTTGTTTTTTTAATTCTTATTTAACATTAATTGAATAAAGACCATTGAACTGAGATTACAGTTTAGAATTTGTTACTAATAAAGCTATATATATAATCTCCTATAATTTACTTAACCTTTCCAGGCTTCAATTTCCTCATCTCTAAAATGACAGACTAATCTTTAAGGTTTCTTCTAGTAGAATAGAATGTTCTGAGATTTTGTTTAAATCAAATTATTGAGAGTGATTGTTTTCAAAACTTAGTTGGCTTAAAACTTATCCTTTCATCTAATTCATTGCCATTTTAAATGTGTATTATCTTAGAGCAAACTTATAACAGCATTTCTAGTAACTTACAACATTCAATGAATGATAAATGTTCAAGTTAGACTAAAGGAACTTTGTTCCAACTTTTAGTAACTACTTTCTTCATTTTTCTCTAATCAGTTTAGGTCCTGGGATCTACCATCTGTTACTTTTCAGTGTCTCATCTAAATATAAACAAGAGTTGCTATTCATATTGTTTAATTTCTCAGGAAGGGTACATTTTGGGCTTCGGGTTTATACTGCAAGCCTTTTTTTGTTTTTCTTGCATATATACCTAAGTAGTCATATGTTTTCACATGGTCAGAGTTTTGATAATAATACTCTACTTGACTTCTGAACAGTTTAATCATAGATTTAATCTGTGAGAGGAAATATACCCTCGAAAGTAACTATAGAAATAACACCTTACTATCTGGTGGCATTTACTTAGTTCTTAGAACTGACTAATTAGTTTGTTGGTTAAAGTAATTTGCTATTTGCTATTATATTGTAAAATAGTACATTTGAGGCTCACTTAAAAAATTGAAAAAACATTGAAATATAAGAGGTCCAAGAATATGTTTGAAACACATTTTGCTAAGTTGACAGAAAATTAATAGAGTTTTGATGGGCCATTAACTAATAATAGACTAAAAAAAAATAGGTACAGTTAAATAAAGGTTTTAAATAGTCTATACCATATACTAAAACTATTAACTGTGAACCGTAAAAGAGAATATATTTTACTGGTTTCTGTAGAGCTGTAAATAGTGTTTGTACTGGCAAATATTTGATTTTGAGGGGATGGTGTTACAAAAACACAAGAGTAGAAGAGTTGTTCGTGTCATCTAGGCTAGCCTTTTACCTTAAATGCCAAAGATCCCAACCAGGTAAACTTAACTTAGAAAATTTGTCATCTATGGATTAACCTTTTTCATATTGTTCTTTTTAGTTGTCTGACTGGGGATTTAGTCAGTAAGTACTCTTCCTTATGTCTAATTAAACTTTCCTAAAGCAGATATTTATGGAAGTAGAGAATTAGATATCATTTCACCTTGCTTCCTTGTACAGTTTTCTTTGGCCTTAAAAGTAAATTTTTTAAAATAAAATTTTTAAAACATTTAAATAAATTTTTAATAAAAAACTTATTTTTGGTGTATCCGACTAGGAAACCATAAAGTAAAAAAAAAAAAAAAATCAATTATTTTAAAGCAGTTTACCAAATACATAAATATTTTTAAAAGTTATTAAACATAAATCTAGTATGGGACTGTTCGATACTGTTTTTTTAGTAGTACATAGACCCTTGCTTTTTTTTGCTTATAACCTGAAACAATTTATATTGAGTTTACCTTTTTTATACTAATATATATTAAGTTATTTCCGTCCTAAATAGGCATTTATAGCTAAAGCATAAAAACTTATAGTCTGATACTGTCTATCCCTTATTGTAGTTTCTGACAGATCCTATTTTTTAAAATGTGTTTATTCTGCATATCAGATCTCCAGAATAGACTTCTTCATAGATATTTTGCATCTCTTGTGGGGACAGAGGAAATTCATCCTACTCTTATCAATCCCCAACCTTAAGTTTACCACCTTGTATTTGAAATCTGTTCCCATCCCCAACAAACTTGTTATTTTCAAATTTGAAAATATTCTTTAAACAGATCTTGATTTAAAACATTTTCAGTAATAGCATCAAATAGTATTTCTTTCAGTTTTCTTTCCCACTGTATTTTCAGTTATTAATAACTATTGATTGTTATTCACCTGTTAGTAGCACACAGAATTCTAAAATACTGAAATTGAGTTGCTTTATTTCAATATTGGTGCCAGAAGAAACCTTAGTCCTCTCACATTTCATAACAATTTTAAGAGCACCTAGGAGTTCTGCAGAGGTGTCTCAGGCTTACAAAGGGGCTGAGGAACCAGCATAGTGGGCTAAACTTATCCCTTTCTTCCACCAAAAAGCAAAACAAGACCTTTCTACTATTAAGAAGAAAAGGAAAGTTGATTTTAAAAACGATTATACTGACCAAATGTCATTTCACAGATGGGGAAATTGCATCCTGAGAGATGGACTGGTGAACAGAGTAGGTGCAGTGCCCTTTCTGCTGTACCATCCCATTTCTCATTCTTTAAAGCCTTTATCCTGCATCCTGCATGGTAGCATTGTAATAACACTTCTGGAAGGAAATTTACAGGTTTACTTCTTTTAGTCTTAGTTTCAACTAATAATTTTGATTTGTGTGGGCAAATTGCTATTTTGGAAAAGTTTCCAACAAGGCCTACTTTATTAGACCTTGGATTAACCCAAACTAACTTGCCTTTTTTTCCCTTGCTTACACCTACAGTGATCTTTTTAAAAGGGGAGTGATTTTATTAAGAGTATAATTTAAGCTGATTTTGTTGGACTATGGAAAGGAAACGGTGATGTGAAGGATCACTGTGTCTCATAGTTATTTCTCTCCTTCCCTGGCATTTTTCGAGGGGTAAGGTCAATCTTCTACCTTTATAACTCAACTAGAGTTTTTCACATTATGTTTTATATCTTTCTCATACTCCTAGATAATATCAGTATTTGAGTTGAATTAAATGTAAGAGCTGATTGACTTAAATTCAACAAGTGAATATTGATTTAAGTACCAGCTGTGTACCCAAAAAAATGCTGGGCACAGAAGTTAGAGTAAGATGTCTCACTTAAAGGGCCTTTGAGGGAGAGGTGACGATCCATTCTGAACTAATCACTAATATCATTAAGAATTAGTGCAAGTTGGCAGCAGAAAATAGGTAATTCTGTCTAAAGGAATCATGAAATGGAAAATAAGCTTTTAATAAGGAGAAGGCACAGTGTTCTTAGGATGACAAATAGTCCTATGGGGACTACAGCATAAAAGTGAAAAATGTAGAAGATAAACCTTTAGATGGTAAACAAGGCAAGATTCTGGAAGATTCTCAAATTCTGTATGAATCAGCTCCACCCCTGCCCCATGGACAGTAGATGACTGTTAAAGGCTTTTAAGGAAAGATGCAACCTAAAAAAAAAAAAAAAATTATTTTAGAATGATAACCAGTGGCAATATGAGGAATAATTAGAGAGGCTAAAGATTAAAGGTAGGATAATCATGGGCCTTGGCAGTGGAATTGAAAGAGTAATTTCAGAAGCAGAATGGTCAGATGTTGGAGGTGATTGGTTATAGAGTTTAAGAATTGTACCAATTTTCTATTGTGTAACAAACTACCCCAAAACTTAATGGCTTAAAACAACTGTTATTTCTCCTGATTCTGTGGTTGACTGGATGATCGTCTGTTGGTCTTGCTTAGACATACGCATGTGCATTTAGCTAAGGGTTCAGCCAGGGCTGGACATTCTAATGGCCTCATTCCCGTGTCTGGGGCCTCAGCTCAGATAGCTGGGACTACCAGGTCTCACTCCGTAAGAGGCTTCTTCAGAGCATGGTAGTCTTGGGGTTCTAAGAGAATGAGAGTAGAAGCTGCAAAACATCTTGAAACTGGGGCTTGGGAGTCACACATGACTTTCTCCACATTCTGTTTGTCAAAAGCCAGTCATAAGGGCAGCACAGAATCAAGAGATAAGAAAGTAGATTCCATCTCTTGATGAGAAGAGCTGCAAAGGCCATATTTAATCAGTCACAGGAGTCTAATGCTACAGGGTTTTTTAAAAAGGTGACTAGATTGGCAAGTTCAAGGTTAATCTTTTTGTTTTATTTATGTATCACTTAGCTGGTATTCAGTAAAAGCTTGCTTTGTAAAATTTAGTTAATAAATATCTTTTTGGTTCAGCACAGACATCTTAGCAGCTCTTTTTCAAACAGATTTGAAGCTGCTTCTAATGACATACTATCTGGTTTATAAAATGAAAATAGAAAATTATGATCTTAGAATGAAGAAGTGAATTTCTAACCCATGATAATTATTACGGTTGCTGCGATTAGACAGACTTTTCTGTGGAGCTTCCTGACAACCAAGAAAAAAGGGGAAATCAAGGAACTGTTCTCATCAGAAAGTAGGAACCCAGCAACTCTTTCAATTTTCTCTTTTGGGAACTTAATAGTCACTGAATTACAAAGTAGACAGTGACCTTAATTATACAACATAAGCAGAAGTGTTTCCTGTAACTTACATAAGTATTTTATCAAATACTTATATATTTGATAAAAGCTAAGCACATAACCATAACTCAGTAAATAGAATTTTCTAGTAGTAAGCTAAAGTGCCTCAAGTATATAATTTAGTTGTCATATTGAATCCAAGGGAAAATTAGATCTGAGACTACCTTGAGGAGTAAATGAACAACTGCTTTAGACCAATACTAATCAAAATGCAGTCCACGGACCAGTGCTGGTCCATGCCCTGTTTGATCCAAGTCCGCATTAAGTACAGAAATGAAGAGTAAGCATTTAGAAACTTGGGGCAATTTGACATTGCCTCAACATCCAAGTTTCAGTGTACTTTATAAACTGTTGATCCATGACAGAATGAAACTTGTAAAAAATTTTTCCTTTTATCACATAGTCTTTCAAAATATTATTTGCTTCTTTGGAGCTTTGTATAGAAACTTGGTAATGTGAAGTTCTCTGCTATGTGGGCCTGGTGTGCTTATCTTCTTTGTTGCTGATTTGAGAGCTGAGCTATGTACTATATCTGGAGTGCACACGGCAGGCATCCTACTGTGCAGTTGTGTGTCTAGTTAATAGTATGGAAGTTCAGGACATACCTCCAAAAAAAAAAAAAGAAACTAGGATTTTCCTCAGAAAGAATGCAGTATTTTATGTCTTAATATTTGTGGTTAATTTTGTTACTACAGACTATTCTTGTTCAGTCCTGGTATCCAATCACAGTGGCCACAAATTCTAGAGAGCAGAAGAAAATATTGGCCAAATATTTGTTAGAAACTTCTGGTAACTTAGATGGTCTGGAATACAAGTTACATGATTTTGGCTACAGAGGAGTCTCTTCCCAAGAGGTAAGTAACTGAAACCAACCTCATTTAATGTAGTATGGATTGTTGATTAGAGTACCGCTATAAACTTTTGGGGATGTTACTGAGATTGATCTTGGTTCTAAGTAGGCCACATTTTGAAATTCCAAAGATTCAACCAACAGATATGTATTTAGTACCTACTACTATGTTCAGGGTACATGGGATATGTCCTTCAACAGATGTCCCTGTCCTTTATATATTAGATGGATGGACAGATGGATAGACAGAAACAGACATAATAAATATATCAGGTGTGAAATAATGCCATAAAGAAGCTCAAGGCAGGGTAAGGGAAGAGAGAGTGATGAAAAGTGGGGGTGGGACACTGTTAACTAGGTCTCTTTGAGGAGATAGTTGATTTTTTAAATATTTAGGAAAAACTGAATCTTTGTCATTAGGAACTGTTATCGCTGATAAATACTTTCCTAAGAATAAAGACGATTCTCATGGGAGCTATGCTATATACCTTAAATGTGGTTGACTGCATCCTGGTCTTATTATTAATGTGGGTTTTTCTTTTTTTTTTTTTGGATTTTGGTTTATGATTGATTTTCCAGACTGCTGGCATAGGAGCATCTGCTCATTTGGTTAACTTCAAAGGAACAGATACAGTAGCAGGAATTGCTCTAATTAAAAAATATTATGGAACAAAAGATCCTGTTCCAGGCTACTCTGTTCCAGCAGCAGAACACAGGTAAAAAAATTCTGTTTGTTTTCTAAAACTACTAATGTTTTCACTCGTGTGTGTCTAACTCAGTGACATTTTACTTAACTGCAGAGCCAGGTACCTACAATAAACCTTCATGAACTTGAGCAACCCAAACTCAGTATTTATACAGAAGTGTAAACATTAGTCTTAGAGAGGTAGAGAAATTTTATCCATCCTAGAAGAAACAGTATAAGAGCTTTTTTCCAACACTTATATTGCCATAGAAGTTTTAAGGAATTTTTTTTCAATGACTGTATTGTCATATGTAGATAGATTTTATTCATTAAATTTAGAAGCACTCACTGTAAGTACCAGCCACTTTTTGCCTTTTCCCTGTCCTCCTACATGACCTTATCTATATTTGCCCTAGAAATTATCATCTGTACAGTATCTTCAGTTGCAGATGAGAAAGCAGGACCTATTGAGGAAAGAAAGGGTGTTCAGATTCTTTTTATGCTTCCTTGTTTGCTCTCACTAAACCATCTCCAGTTACCCAAGAAAAAAATTATAATCTAAACTGCGGCCGCTCTGGTCCTAGAGCTAACTTTATTGAAAGTAAATCAGGTTTTTAAAATGTTTGTCAAACCTTATCACTGGTTTTTATAACAAAATTATTTACTATAATCATTAGGGAATATTTAAGTTCTGCTAATACTTAAAATTGCAGAGTGCTACAACCAACAGTGAGTTTAGAATCAGGCTAAGCTTTATTAGTACTACTATTTGAGGCATATATATTTTTTAAAAACTGACCCTATCCTCAGGATGAGAATAATACACTAGTAATAGTCCGCTTGGTTGGTTAACTCCTTGGAAGAAGGTACAATTAAAATGCTTTAGTGTTGCAAGGGAAGGAGAGGAAGAATCATATTTCTATAGGAAAGGAAGGATCATATTTCACTAGCAGGATCAAGAAAGCTTTTATAGAAATATGCAAAATCTTCACTTCTTGAAGGATCAGTAAAATTTAATAGCCAACATTGGGCACTTACTCATTCTCTGAGTAAATATTTATTGCATGCTTATCTTGTGTCAAGCATTGTGGTGAAAGGGCAAGAATAGGGAGAGAGTGAATGTGTTGAGAGAGTAAGGGCTGAAACACAGGTTTTGTAGGGAGCATAGGGGAGACCGAGAAGACAGGTTCAGGTTAGAAAGGGCCCTCATATTTTGGCATGGAATGTTAACTATGTGCACGTCGTGCTAGGTTATTCTAAATTAGGCATTTTCAAATGGAAGCAGACACTGATATTTTTGAGCAAAGACGTGATGTTATGAGATAAATATCTTAGGGACTTTTTTATAGCAGGATATCTATCCTATGGATTGAAAAAAAGGAAAAACCAGAAGGTAGTCTTTATAGGAAGCTATTCCAACAGTCTTAAGGTGATGAAGCCCAGACTAAGATACTAAATAAATGGAAAGAAATAGGTAAAGATGAGCAATGGCTTGGGAGATAAAATTGCTCAAAGTTGGTGATTTAGTTGGTGATTTGAGTTGGGACTCAGTAGAAAATAGATTCAGCCGACGTTTATGAGCATTGTATTAGTAAGGCCTTGTTGAACCTTTTACAAACAACTTTCAAGACTAGGAAACTGGGAAAATAAGAGTGTCAAAAAGTTTTAAGAGTTATTTTTTGTTTGACCTTAGATATATATACATCTTTTAAAACTCTAATGTAGTACGCACATATTAGACTCTTCACTGATGGTTATTTCAAAGTAGTAACATCATGATAAGGAGAACAAAGATAATATCTTCTTTAGGGCTATCTTCTTCAGGACTTTCTTGTCAAAATGAAAAGGATACTGTATGTGGGCATGGGATAAAAATCCATTTTATTTTTATGGTCTCATATTCATTGCATTTGTAAAATTTGACTCCTTAATATATACAAATGCTTCACATGTTCTTAATAGAATGTCTTTTAAACAACAGCATAGTATAGCAAAAAGAGGACTGGACTGAAAGTTGGGAAATCCGGGTTACCTTCCGGCTGACATAGTGGGTGGCCTTGGGCAAGTCACTTACCTCTCTCAAGTCACTTATCTCTCTGTTCTTCATTTCCTCCATCCAACCAAACAAAAGGAGGAGCTGAAGTTTTACATCTCCAACCTGACAAGGTCGTTGATGATAAATGAGCTAACATCTAAAATAACTTTAAAATAGAGAACTCTATAAATTTAGAGGTTTACCATTATCATATGTCTCTTAATAGACGAATCTGCACCTAGAAATACTTAATTACAGAAGCTTTTTTTCTCAAACTTTGGAAAGTTATCAAATTTAATTTGGTGCTTGAAATTAGGATTTATGGCATTGGTAGAATTCATTGATGATTATTTATGATCTTCATATATCAAATACTGTACTAGACTAATAGAGGTTATGATTGGACTAGACAGAGGGTGCCAGAGCAAGTGTCTGTGGGACGCTGAGATGAAGATATTCAACTTTCCATCTAACAAAGTAGATCCAAAGCCCGGAAGAAAAACAGAGGCTAAGATACACATACTGGAAACTCTCATGCAGGGACTTTTTTTTTTTTTTTTAAGCTTTTGAGTGTTTCACACAAGATGTTACAGAAGACAAGTGCCTAAATTAGAACCATGAGAAATACTGCCATTTGACATGTTAGATTGAAGAAGGAGAGCACAGCATCTGGGGAAGACTGAAAAGGGAACCATAGAAATAGGGGGAAAAAAGGTGAAACATGGGAGATGTCATTGAAGTCAAGAGAAAGAAAGCATCAGGAAAATTGCTAGACATGATACAACTAGATTGTTAGATGACTTGTTGATACAACATTATAAGCAATGACCCCTTAACTGTAGGAGTTACTTCATACGTTGTAAAGTTCTCTAGTATTGGTATTCACTGATCTTAATTCTCTCCTTTTTAAAGAGGAAGGTTGCAGATCTGAATATGAAGAGGAGCTTCTCTTCAGTCATATCTTAATTTTCATTTAGCCTACAGATGCATGAAGTAGAGAATTGACATAGCTACTGGCAGCCTCTGTAGCTGTTAAGAAGAGTGTTCACTAATGAGTTTTATATAAACAGGTTCTCTCTCAATTTTGGATTCTGGGTAGTAGTCTTTACAATCTTGAAATGTACATGCTGCACTACCCCAGGTGTACCATTGACAGTATGGGAAAAAGTTATAACTCTAGTCCTTTAAAAAAAAACACACACGTTGTATAAAGTGATAATTTCAGACATAAAGTCTGACTCTTCAAACAGTTATAAGTTAAACTTATACCTACTTGGGCTTTATAATAAATGAATGTGCTATCTTTTTATTATTTCCTGAGGAGAACAGATTAGAGACAGACTAGAAAATTAGGGAGAATGACCAATTGCTTGGCATAATGCAATGGTAATTTTCAAAATTATTAAGTTGTTTGAGATCTTTTAAAATTATTTACATTATATATTAACAAATATTTACACAGGTTGAGCATCCCGAATCCAAAATGCTCCAAAATCTGAAACTTTTTGCTCAAAGGAAATGCTCATTGGAGCATTTCAGATTTCAGAACTGGGGATGCTTAACTGATAAGTATAATGCACATATTCCAAAATCTGAAAAAATTTGAAATTCAGAATACTTCCGGTCCAAGTATTTCAAATAAGTGAAACCCAATCTATGATTACATATTAAATATGAATCTATCCTGTAAAAAGAACTGAAATTAAGGACATTGCAAAAATCACTATAACCATTCTTATCCAGTAGAAACTCTCATACTTTATTTTCCATCTTAATTATGTTTGGCTTAAACTAAGTATTTGAATTCTTATTCCCTGGGCATATATTAATTCATAGTAGATAATCTACAAACAAAATGTATGACTTCCTATTACTAGCCATTTGAAGATATAACAGGTAGTTGACTATATGTATGTATAGTATAGTATAAATAATTGCCTCTAAGTATAAGATTTTGAAAGGTAAAAAAAAAAAAAGTATGTCTGTACTATTATTGGTATATAGTTTCAAAAATTCACAGAAGGGAGCCAGGTGCTAACAAAATAATGGGAGTATGTAGTCATTCTGACATCTTGACATATAGTATAAAGGGCACTCAGCAAGTGCGTTTTAGTTAGACTGATTTTAAATGAGTAGATTCAGGAGTACAAAACACACACACACACACACAGATAATTGGTTGAAAATAAGAGGTTAGAAACTTAACTGTTGAAGAGGAGTAAGGCTACTTAATAGTGTTAAAAACTAACTGGGTAAGGTGTGGTTGACCCAGATATTCATTTGCCTTACAATGTGTATTCGTTAAACTAAGTCACTCACCTCTGTGATGTTGATGGTTTGGTATAGCACACATGAGATGTGGTTAAAGGTGATTCAGGGATAGATCATGTGTCTGCCTAAGTAAATATGTATTTTCATTTTGTTTTCTAGTACCATAACAGCTTGGGGGAAAGACCATGAAAAAGATGCTTTTGAACATATTGTAACACAGTTTTCGTCAGTGCCTGTATCTGTGGTCAGCGATAGCTATGACATTTATAATGCGTGTGAGAAAATATGGGGTGAGGATCTAAGACATTTAATTGTATCGAGAAGTACAGAGGCACCACTAATAATCAGACCTGATTCTGGAAACCCTCTTGACACTGTGTTAAAGGTAAATTTTCATATGTAACTTGATTATTAGAATGCCTGTGTAGCCCAGTTGCATCAACACTACTTTTCATTTACACACAATTTCAGAGCTGTCTGGACCGTCCCCTTTGTTTTAGAGTTGCAGCCCAGACAGAGTAGTAAATTTGCCTGAGGGCACACAGTAATAGCACAGAAGGATACCAAGAGTTACGGATTATTTTACTGTCAGTTAGACAGTTGAATAGATATTTTCTTTTCTGCTTACCTGCAAAATTAACAGCATTGCCATTTTAATTAATCCTATGATTTGGGCACCAAACTTATTTGCAGTTTCTTTCTTTTTCAGCATAAGTCACTGCTAGACCATTGAAGTTGTTAGCACAGAAGAAATAGGAACAGGGTGATGTGGAATAAAAATAATTCAAAAATACTCAAGTGGAGGTTCATTAGAAATACTGTTGATTCATAATGTAGCAATGTTGCTTTTTGTTGTTAATGTTCAAGGACTTGGTTTATCTTCTTCAAAAAGTAATAATAGCAGACTTATTTGATGCCTACTACTAGAAAAATATTTTAGGTGCTTTATATAAGATGTGCCATTTAATCTCTACAAAAAAACACAATGATAAATATTACTGTCTCTGTTATAGAAGAAAAAACAGAGGCTTAGAAAGGTTAAAGTAACTTGCTCAAGGTCACACAACATGGAAGATAAGGAGCCAGATATCCAGTGTAGGTCTTTCGACTGCAGCCTTGCTACTTGACCACACTGTTTGATACTTAATGATAGAGTACTTACCCCTTAAGAAAGGGAGACACAGAATTAAGGAGGTCTTTTCTTACTCTATTAAATGATAGGCCAATCTGAAGGTCTTGTCTTAGCCTGCAATATTTGGTTTTAGCAAACTTGACAGGTTTCATATTTTTACTGTTACCCCATAAAAATTCTACACAGCTAGTTATGAGAAACTGATTTCATCAATATGGAATTTTCTCATTGTTAGAATCTTTAATCAGTTTATTTAGGAAAAGGAAATGATTGTTGTGGGAAGAGAATGTCAGTATTTACTCTTTTGTTTATCTGAGAAATTTTAAATTGGTGTACAAAACTTTTAGTAGTTAGTAAGATGGTTTGCGTATTGTGCAATTTGGCTTTAAGAGCAAAGGAGAACTTAGAGACTATGGGTTCTAGATGCTGTGTCTGCCTATCACAGTTTCTCTGAACTTTGTGATTGAACTGGATTCATGTTGGAGTTACATCAGACAAAAACCAAAGTCATTGGGCACAAGCAGAATAAATCCAAATCAAAAGTATAATCATGAGTTTGTTAAATGCTTTATATACTTCTTTAAAATGTACTTAATCTAATATTAAGGTTTTTTTTTCTTGAATTCGTATAATTTGAAAGGTCTAAGGGGAAAAACTTGTTTTGAGCCACTTTATGATGTGAATTCACTTCATAGGAAATAACATGCTTGTTTTTAATGTACTTTAAAGGGTTTGGACCAAATTTTAGAAGGCGTATACATAGTGTTATAAAATTTTTTAAATAGTTACTTTTTATATTCTCGATTATCAAAGCAAAATCATTTAACTTTGAAAAGCTCTTATACTTGTTTTCAGCTTTATTTATGTTGCATGTATATTTTTCCATATAGGTTTTAGAGATTTTAGGTAAGAAGTTTCCTGTTACTGAGAACTCAAAGGGCTACAAGTTGCTGCCACCCTATCTTAGAGTTATTCAAGGGGATGGAGTAGATATTAATACCTTACAAGAGGTATGTGTTTTATATTAAAAGTTTCAATAAGGCAATTCTTATAATTAAGCTTGTTTATATTTGTTGGATAAAGAACACAACATAAATACAATTTTAAGTCTTTGTGTTTATGTTGGTATAAATCTCTGTGCATTGCTTAAAGTTTAGAAATATTAGTTTAAAATACAGAAGTGCCAGTCAAGCCATACTTACTCTTCCAGTTGTCATTGGCCACCCTGAATGATGAATCTAAAGAAGTATCACTGTGAAACAAGAAAATGTCAGTCAAGAAATATTCCTTGGAATATAAAACCAAACCTTGACTCTGCTGGCATAGGTGTGAGTTTTCATAGACCGGAGCTTCACAAATCTGTAAAACTCATATTAATGGGTGCTTTTTCAGAAATTATAGAATAACTGTCACCTCTTCGAAATCAAGTATTGACTGTCATCACTATTAGTTTTAGCCAAGTAGTGTAAGTGTTATGCAGGCATACCTCATTTTATTGTGCTTTGCAAACAATTGCATTTTTTGCGAATTGAAGGTTGTGGCAACCCTGTGTTGAGCAAGTCTGTTGGTGCTATTTTTCCAACATGTGTTCACTTCGTGTCTGTGTGACACTTACTGGTAAATTCTCACAATATTTCAGACTTTGTCATTATATCTGTTATGGTGATCTGTGATTAGTGATCTTCGATGTTACTACTATAATTGTTTTAGGGCACCACAGAGCACACCCAGAAAAGACAGTGAACTTAATTGATAAATACTGTGTGTGGTGTCACTCCTTCACCAGTTACCTATTCCCTGTCTCTCTCTGCTCACTTCAAGTCTGCCTATGCGCTGAGACACAACAGTATTTAAATTAGGTCAGTTAATAACCCCACAATGGCCTCTGAGTGTTCAAGTGAATGGAAAAGTCACATCCCTCTCATTTTACATCAAAACCTAGAAATGATTAAGTTTAGTGAGGAAGGCATGTTGAAAGCTAGAATAGGCCTCTTAAGGCAAACAGTAGGCCAAGTTGTGAATGCAAAGGAAAAGTTCTTGAAGAAAAATAGAAGTGCTACTCCACTAAACATATGAATAAGAAAGTGAAACAGCTTTATTGATGACAGGGAGAAAGTTTGAGTGGTCTGAATAGAAGATCAAACCAGCCACAACATTTCCTTAGGCCAAAGCCTAATGCAGAGCAAGGCCCTCGTTTCAATTCTGTGAAGGCTAAGAGAGGTGATGAAGCTGCAGAAGAAAAACTGAAAGCTAGCAGAGGTTGGTTCCTGTGATTTAGGGAAAGAAGCCATCTCTGTAACATGAGTGCAGAATGAAGCAGCAAGTGCTGATGTAGAAGCTGCTGCAAGTTACCCAGAAGATCTAGCTAAAATCATTGATGCAGGTGGCTACACTAAACAACAGATGACCAATGTAGAGGAAACAGCCTTCCATTGGAAGAAGGTACCATCTAGGACTTTCATAACTAGAGAGGAAGAGTCAACGCCTGCTTTGAAAGGACACGCTAACTCTCGTTAGTGGATAATGCAGCTGGTCACTTTAAGTGGAAGACAGTGCTCATTTATCATTCTGAAAATCCTAGGACCCTTAGAATTTGCTGAATCTACCCTGCCTGTGCTTTATAAATGGAACAACAAAGCCTGGATGACAGCATGTCTGTTTACATCATAGTGTACTGCATATTTTAAGCCCACTGTTTGGACCCACTGCTCAGGGGGAAAAAAAAAAAGATTGCTTTCAAAATATTATTGCAGATGGCATCTAAGATCTGATGGAGATGTACAAAGAGGTTAATGTTGTTTTTCATGCCTGCTAACACAACGTCCATTCAACAGCCTATCCATCAAAGAGTAATTTCAAATATTATTATTTAGGACATATATCCTTGGCCAGGTGCGGTGGCTCACGCCTGTAATCCCAACACTTTGGGAGGCCGAGGCGGGCAGATCACGAGGTCAGGAGATCAAGACCATTTCTGGCCAACCCGGTGAAACCCCGTCTCTACTAAAAATACAAAAATTAGCCGGGCGGGGCGATGCGTGCCTGTAGTCCCAGCTACTCAGGAGGCTGAGGCAAGAGAATTGCCTGAACCCGGGAGGCGAAGGCTGCAGTGCACCAAGATCCTGCCACTGCACTCCAGCCTGGGCAACAGAGCAAAACTCCATCTCAGAAAAAAAAGAAAAAAGAAGAAATATAGTCTTAAGTGTATAGCTGAAAAGGATTCACCATTCTAGATGCCGTTTAAGAACAAGCTTCATGGGAAGATGTTAAAATGTCAGCATTAACAGGAATTTGGAAGAAATTTATTCTAACCCTCACGGATAACTGAGTCTTGATTTGACTTTAAGACTTCAGTGGAGGAAGTAACTACAAATGTGGTAGAAATAGCTAGATAACTAGAATTAGAAGTGGAGCCTGAAGGTATGACTGAATTGCTGCAGTCTCATGATTAAATTTGAACAGATGAGGATTTGCTTCATATGGACGGATAAAGAAAGTGATTTCTTGAGATGAAATCTACTTCTAGCAGAGATGCTGTAACATCGTTGAAATGACAACAAAGGACTTTCGAATATCAATAAAATTGGTTGATAAAACCAAAGCAGGATTTGAGAAGATGCACTCCAATTTTGAAAGAAGTTCTTATGTGGGTGAATGCTATTATACCAAACAGCATCGCATGCTAGAGATAAATCTTTCGTGATCGGAAGAGTCAATTGATGCGACAGACTTCATTGTTGTCATTTTAAGACATTGCCACAGCCACCCAACCTTTAGCAACCCTGATCAGTCAGCAGCCATCAACAGTGCAAGGGCCTCCACCAACAAAAAGATGACTCAGGCTCAAGTGACCATTAGCATTATTTAGCAATAAAGTATTTTTAAGACATAATGCTATTGCACACTTAATAGACTACAATGTAGTGTAAACATAAGTTTTATATGCAGGAGGAAACCAAAAAATTCCCCTGACTTGCTTTATTGCAGTGGTCTGGAAGCAAGCCCACAGTATTTTCAAAGTATGTCTGTATTGTCTTAAAATTTTTGCCACTTGTTTACTAAATAAGGTTGCTAGGAGCTATAATTTCATCATAACTAACATCTAAAATACTCTGTAGAATATCACTAACATAATGGAGGCCGTCCACATTCAGAAACCACTGACATTTTGATGTATACCAATCTCAGATGGTATCTGCAGCTATGAAACACAGGTTTTTTTCTGTTTGAAAGTTCGGTGGTGGTAAAGTAAGGTCAGTTCCCAAATTATAGTTTTCCAAAGATTGATTTGGGAGTGAGAAGTATTATGTTTTGTAGAGATGGGGGTCTCGCTGTTTCCCAGGCTGGCCTCAAAATCTCCTTGACTCAAGCCTCCCAAAGTGCTGAGATTACAGGTGTGAGCCACCATTCCCAGCCTGTATGTGCATCTTTGTAATTGAGAATCAGCCCAAAACTGTACATGAATAAAAACTACATAAACAAGAATTAAATATTGAGATAAATACTCTCTGGCATTAGTGAAACTTAAACAGAACAAATAGGGCATTGAATCGTTTTGTGTTAATGCAGATGTACTCAGGAAGGAAAAATGTCTTTTTTTTTTTTTTGAGACGTAGTTCGCTCTTGTTGCCCAAGCTGAAGTGCAATGGCACGATCTCGGCTCACTGCAACCTCTGCTTCTCGGGTGGCTGGGATTACAGGCGTGTGCCACCACGCCCATAATTTTTTGTATTTTTAGTAGAAAAGGGATTTCACCATGTTCGCCAGGCTGGTCTCGAACTGCTGACCTCAGGTGATCTGCCCGCCTCAGTCCCCCAAAGTGCTGGGATTACAGGCATGAACCACTGCACCCGGCCAGAAAAATGTCTTTAAAAGAAAAAAAAAGCTGGGCCTATAGGTGTACCTAAAGGATAATACAGATGTTCCTCTCAAGTTAGCATGGGGTTGCATCTCAATAAACCCACTTTTAAGTTGAAAATATTAAGTGGAAAATGCATTTATTATTCCTAACCTACAAGACCTCGTAGTTTAGCCTCGCTTACCCTACAGGTGCTCAGAACACTTACTAGCCTACAGTTGAGTAGTCCTCTAACACAAAACCTATTTTATAGTAAAGTGTTGAATATCTCAAGTAATTTATTGATGTTCCACTGAATGCAAATCACTTTTACACCATTGTTAAGTTGAACCATTGTATGTTTGGGAACATCTGTACTTGTAATTTCTTTCCATTGGTATGAAAAATATGTTCTTAGAAGCAGGAAAAAGAATTCAGTTTTGCTCTGTACGTACACTAAATTAGATGCTGTAGTTTTGATAAAATGAAAAATCTGCTTTGTTTGGAACAATTACTTTTTTCTTTGACTGTCAGCCTCACTCTTGGACTTTGCTACTCAACCTGTCACCCCTGTGACATCCCATGAGGTTTACAGTGTAACCCTGCTCTAGGTTTTCACTTTGCACTGTGTACCAAAATGAAACTGCTTATTTAGGAAAATAAAAATCTCTCATGTTGGACAAAATACAGAGTGTCTATCTTCTTTTTCTATTGTGTTTCAGTTATGGATTCAATCTTCTTGGGTATCATTGACACCTCTATTCGAGTGATTTATTAAAACATTAACATAGTATTGCATTCTCAGAGTTGGCAAGAGGAAGCTTTCTTTCAAGTCTCACATGTATTAAATGTTTTTCTTCCCAGACTCAAAATTCACCTTAACTCCAAATTGTCTAAATTTTAAAACTTTTGGTAAAGAAAGTTAGCCTGAAATACAGTGATATGATATTAGATGATACTGTTCTTTGTTATTTCCTCATTTTGTTTTTGCCTCTGAAGCATATCTAAAATGAGGTGACAGATCAGAAACTATTTTCTCTATATTTTACCTTACCCTCCATCTACCTGTTTCCCTTTCTTCCCCTTTTCTGTTCTACTCTTTGCATTTCTTCTGTATTGAAATTCACTTTGTTCACAAATTTAAAGGAAAACCTAAATTCAGAGGCTTTGGGTACCTTTAGGTTCAGGTACAATAAAGACATGAGACTGGATTTGTGTACATCCTAAAGGAATCAATTTTAAATAAGTTTTATATGTTTTCATCTTGATTCTTCTAGATTCATCTTGATTCAAATTAGATGGTTGGCATTTAAAAAGAAAGTTGCATTTCTAAATGTAGATTTGTTTAAAAAATGAAGTTGCTTGGGATTTGTTGGGTTTTTTCCTTTGCAGTGTTGAAAAAAAAAAAGTCAAATTGAGACTATTTGGTGAGAATGTGGTAACTTTGATACACATGAGGCTGTTAAGATTTCCTAATAACTTCTGAAAGTTCTGTTTAACTAAAACAGTGCCAGCCTTTCCAGTTACTTCCTGTTCGACTATTCTCATGAAATAAATGGTTACCAAACTTCACTTGCCACATTCTATCATCAAACTGATTGAATATGTTAAATAAGAAGGCAGGTGCTAGGTAAATAAACTTGACTTTGGTGAAAGAAATACAAATGACATTGATAATAAACACATCTTTAAAGTTGTATGTCCCTTGAAAGAACTCTTTTAGAACTGTTCATACAGGTCTGTCTAGCTGGTTTATAACTAATCATTCTCCCAAAAATAATACAGTAATAAATCTTAACACCTAGAGCATCTGTCCATAATTTTGTTTCTGGCACTGGTGCACCAGCCATAGTAAAATGACTCTACCAGTATATCAACTGTTATATAGGAGAAGTATTTTATATTCTTTCGCCACCAATATCTTTTGATTCTTACATGTTCCATTATATATGACGTGTAATCATATGGTGTATTGTGACTTATTTGTGATGATTACAGTCATTCCTAGAGTCTAGTAAATTGACTCCCATTGCTTTTGTTGCTGACATCTGGACAATAACTTAAAGAGGTGAATGAGAGAAGTTGACTCAAGTAGTCTTAGATATTTATAGCTATTTTTTTCTCACTTTCTCTCATTTCCTTCACTCCCTGAATCCTACCAGAACCACAGTAATACAGATTCAGAAACTATGAATGAAATCCTCTTCTTCCACACATATCCATCTTTTGGGGGTGGGTGGGTCTTTAAAAACAAAATGCAGGCTATGATTATCTATTTATTGACTGTGTTATAAAACAGCTCTTGGATGCTTCATCAATATTGTCCTTTGAAAATAATCTCCATTGTCTTCCAAATTAAGGTTTTGTTTGGTTTTGTTTTGTTTTAATCTTCTAGATTGTAGAAGGCATGAAACAAAAAAAGTGGAGTATTGAAAATGTTTCCTTCGGTTCTGGTGGAGCTTTGCTACAGAAGTTAACAAGAGATCTCTTGAATTGTTCCTTCAAGTGTAGTTACGTTGTAACTAATGGCCTTGGGGTATGTCACCTTTTATTTACTTCTGTGTTAGTACCTTCCTTATATATCTAGGTAGAATGTGGTTATTGAGTGCAATTGTCAAAGATTGATGTGGCCCTGGACTGTTAATATGTTGTTGGGTGTTGCTGACCTTAACTCAGAAACAAGGAGAAGGGAGATATTAGGTAATAACAGACCTAAGGAGACAGATTCGGAAAAAGTAAGACCAATAAGGAAAAACATTTAAGAGAGATAATACAGGTCAGTCATTTCCCACTGCCTCCGTTTATACCTTTGGATCAAAAAGTAATATTTGGAAACATCAGCTTACCTAGCCATCATATATTAAAGACAAGCAAGTATATAATCACTGACCAAACTGTTTTAGGAAGGTAGAATATGAGGTTTGGATTGTTATACCACAATCATATTCTAGTAGCCATAGAACAGCTAGGCAACTGAACCACCACCCCCTCGCTTCTTTGTAACGTCTTGAGAGCTGGAGATTCTATAGAGCAAGGGACAGAGGCAGGAGGATGCTAAGAATTGAGAACACCTGAGTTGATTCCCTGCTTTACTCTTCCATCGTTCTTTGGAGAGTTCTGGGATTGACTGATTTGTTGCTGCTTGTTCCATTGCCTCTTGTTTCTGTGGCTTTGCTGCCTACCTTTCTGATGCAGAAACACTCTGCTCTCCTGAGGTTCGCTAAGTCTTTTGCTTCTGACAATAACAAGGCAAAAGTAAAAAGTACCAAAAGAGGGATACGTTATGAAATAGGAAAGCCTTTACCTTAGTAATATTCTTGTTCCCTCTCCAAAGATTGTGTGTGTGGTTTTGGCATAGTTGGTATAGTTGGGCTTTTTTTCAACAGCATGTACGTGCTTTGCTTACTATCAGTTTAAAGGCAGTTTGTAATATAAAAAGAGATACCTTAAGGATCACGTGTTAGAATGCTCACAGACTTCCTACAAATGGAGTATTAGGTGTTCTTCAGTGGCAAAAAGGATATCCAAGATGTCATACTTTTTCTTTATTACAAATGACTATCCTTCAAAACAGGTTAAAGTGTTACGTTTCTAAAAGCCAGATGTGGATTGGTTCAGTTACACCTATTAAGTTCTTAAAACTTAAATGTAAATTATGTATATGCTTTCTTGCAAGGGAGTGTTTAGACATTTCTGATGATTAGTCTTCTATTTCTCTAACTTTCTTAATTTGGATTTCAGATTAATGTCTTCAAGGACCCAGTTGCTGATCCCAACAAAAGGTCCAAAAAGGGCCGATTATCTTTACACAGGACGCCAGCAGGGAATTTTGTTACACTGGAGGAAGGAAAAGGAGACCTTGAGGAATATGGTCATGTATGTATCTATGCTGTTTTTTTTCAACAGTAGTAGGTTGGCTCACCAATTAATAAGAAAGGAGGTTCTTATGTTATTGTTTTTGTGGAAGACAAAGTATTATATTTTATTATAAAATGTCCAATTGCTGACCTGGCCTACCAAAATAAGATACAAAACAAGTTTCTACGTCTTAAACATGGGGCCTGTGTATACACAGGGAGAAATATTTCGTAAGTATAGTGATTGACAGCAAGTTTGTATATACTTTATCTAAAAGCAAACTGTGTTATCTTAATATAAAATGTGAAAACAAGGTGACTTGATTTGGATTACATAATAAATGGTGAAACCTTGATTTAATCAAGTTTTCTGATTCAAATGATCTAATGGTCTTTAGCATACAAAAGTACATTTATATTTGTGAACTCGAGTTTAAAAAATTTTGGTTTTTAAGCCACTTGATCAAAAAAACTTTAGACAGAACTATTTATGAATATTCATATTATCAGAAAAAATACTAAACATGAATGTACTATTACATCCTATTTTGATTCTTTATACAACATCACAATTACTGCTTATAACATGTTACTTTTATATTTTTTAATGTTTTGAGCCAGAATTGAAATAATTTTGTTACCGTTAATGAAAAAATAACTCTTGTACCTACTAAGATTTTGGCAGATTTAGTTTATCCCAGATGAGCTAAACTCACTTCAAACTAAAAGTAAAAATCTAAGTGTGATTTTTAAAAAAGAGTATGTGAATGATACTAGAATAAACTAGAAAATCAATTTATAATCATCTAGGCAATTTGATTTAAGAGTAGGAACTAGTATTCCCTTATATTTAAATTTATGAAAGAAAATGCTACAGCTAAAGCACTGTGGTTTGAAGCAACACGATGACAAAAATACTAGATAATGTCATATGCACCTCAGTCTTCAGACTAGATGGAAAATTGAGATTACTTCTGTGGACTTTTCAGAGAGAAACCAGAAGCAGATAAGCTTTACCAGACCCAAAGGGAATTTAATTTCTTCAATCTGTCTTTGCTACTCTGTATAGATGAAGTGGATTACCTTTATCATCAACTTTTGTAGTGTAAACAGAAACTTTAACCCAGTCACTGTGCGTTAGTCAAGAACGCAATACCTATTTTTCTTTGTTTCTGTTTTGGGATTGGTTTTGGGCTTTTTGTGGGTTTTTTAGACCAAATTTAGTGACTAGCAAATTTATTAAACTTCCAGTTGATAAGTTTAATCACTGTTGAGTTTGTTGGCCAGGAACAAAGCAAGGTTTACCAGGCTTTTTTGCTGCACCATCAGAGTGATTGTCAGTGACAGCCACAGTTCTCCTTGGCACCCAGGCATCTTCCTTCAACTTGAAGGAAAAAAAGAAAAAAAGATTGGTCAGCTAGGTTTCTTGATTTTCCTTTAAGAAAACTGGTTTAAGAATGTGGTATTGAGGTCATTCCTTTTCATAAAAGTTAAATATTTCTACATACCAGGCAACTCAGTGATTGGCCATTTTAGATACTACCTTGGTCCACTAGCATTTTCTATGCATCAAATCATCTCACAATTTGAACACCATTGGCATCTCTTGTGTATTTGATAGGTTGGTCTAATTCATCACACCAGGATTCAGGTATTTTGCTTCATAATGTAATCTAATCATGAAATTTCCATTTATGCAGGATCTTCTTCATACTGTCTTCAAGAATGGCAAGGTGACAAAAGGCTACTCAACTGATGAAGTAAAAAAAATGCACAGGTGAATACTGAACTGGAAGCAGCATCTCATTAGGCTTTGTTTTATGACTGGGTGTTTGTGTGTGTGTGTGTATATGTGCATGCACACACACATACACCTGTGTGTATGTAATACATAATGTTCATTGTACAGATGTGTGGGGTTTCTTTGTGTTTTATGATACATTACAGCCAAATTATTTGTTGGTTTATGGACATACTGCCCTTTTTTTTTTTTTCCAGTATTTAGGTGATATCAAAATAGGAAATGCACTTAACCATGTAAAAGATCAGTGCTAAAGTAAGCTTTTTAGGGCCTTTTGCCAGTAGGTAGTCACTCAATGTGGTATTGATCTTTTCACAAATAACAGAACTGAGAAACTTTTATATATAACTGATCACATAAAACAGATTTGCATAAAATTACCATGATTGCTTTATGTTTATATTTAACTTGTATTTTTGTACAAACAAGATTGTGTAAGATATATTTAAAGTTTCAGTGATTTAACAGTCTTTCCAACTTTTCATGATTTTTATGAGCACAGACTTTCAAGAAAATACTTGAAAATAAATTACATTGCCTTTTGTCCATTAATCAGCAAATAAAACATGGCCTTAACAAAGTTGTTTGTGTTATTGTACAATTTGAAAATTATGTCAGGACATACCCTGTAGAATTACTAACCTCACTGCCCCTTGTAGAATATGTATTAATCATTCTACATTAAAGAAAATAATGGTTCTTACTGGAATGTCTAGGCACTGTACAGTTATTATATATCTTGGTCGTTGTATTGTACCAGTGAAATGCCAAATTTGAAAGGCCTGTACTGCAATTTTATATGTCAGAGATTGCCTGTGGCTCTAATATGCACCTCAAGATTTTAAGGAGATAATGTTTTTAGAGAGAATTTCTGCTTCCACTATAGAATATATACATAAATGTAAAATACTGACAAAAGTGGAAGTAATGTATTTTAAAGTAATTACACTTCTGAATTTATTTTTCATATTCTATAGTTGGTATGACTTAAATGAATTACTGGAGTGGGTAGTGAGTGTACTTAAATGTTTTGATTCTGTTATATTTTTTATTAAGTTTTTTAAAAATTAAATTGGATATTAAATTGTATGGACATCATTTGTTAATTTTAAACTGAATCCCCTCAATAAGTAATACTGAAGCACATTCTTAAATGAAGATAAATTATCTCCAGTGAAAAGCATGACGTGTTTCAATAGAAGAATCTTAAGTTGGCTAAATTCAAAGTGCTTGACATCAAAATGTTAGAGTGATTAGCTACTAGATTCTGAATCAGACATCACATCTAGAGACCAGTTTCTTTCGAATGATTCTTTTATATATTTAACTCTGTTCTTCTGAGGCAGCGGTTGGCCAACTATGGCCCAAAGGCCAAATTCGGACTCCTTTTTATAAATGCAGATTGTCTATGGCTGCTTTCCCACTACTGCAGCCAAAGGTAAACAGCTGCAGTAGAAGCCAAATGAGAATCATAAGAAGCCAAATGAGAATCATAAAGCCCAAAATGTTTATTTACCTGCCCTTTACACAAAATCACACAAAAAGTTTCCTGATCTCTGTTCTAAGAAAAGGAGTGTGCCTTGCATTTAAAGGGAAATGTTTTCTAGGGAAGGGAGGAGGCTAAATAGTTGATAAGGAATTTTCCTCTTTTGTCCTCTTTTTTTCTCATTTAAGAATCTGATTCTGGAAGACTGATTTAGAAAAGTGTTAACATGACATTAAATGTGAAATTTTAAAAATTGAAAAGCCATAAATCATGTTTTAAATAGTTACCTGAGAAAATATTTTATCACTAGAATAACCTAATTAGAAGTGAGTTATCTTCATTAAATGTTTTTTGTAAGTGGTATTAGAAAGAATATGTTTTTCAGATGATGCTTTAAACATTTAGTGAGAACAATAAGCATTATTCACTTTTAGTAAGAGTCTTCTGCAATCCATGGTAGAAAATAATTTTAAAATGATTTTTTAATGTATTTGAGTAATGATGAGTATTAAAAAGAACACACATTTCTTCACAAAATGTGCTAAGGGGTGTGTACAGAATCAAAATAAACTATTACCAATAATAGTTTTGATAATCACCCATAATTTTGTATTTAAACCATTTAAACATTGAAATTATACTACAGACAGTATTCTCTATGTTCTGTGAATTTCACCAGCTGCAGAACAGAGTTTCATTTTGAAACTTGCAGTGAAAAAAGCTATCTATTTGTTCACAACCATAAATCAGGAGATGGAGATTAATTCTATTGGCTCTTAGTCACTTGGAACTGATTCTGACTTTCTGTCACTAAGCACTTGGTATTTGGCCATCTCCATTCTGAGCACCAAACGGTTAACGTGAATGTCAAGTAGAACTCTGCTGTGTGTCACCCTTAAATCAGCCTAACTCTTCCAGACAAAAACAAATGGCATTTATGGATTTAAGTCATTAGATTTTAAACTGACATTAATTAATCCCCCTTGATTCATTATATCATCAAGTATTTATATTTTAAATAGGAGGTAGGATTTCTGTGTTAAGACTCTTGTACCCTATAATTAAAGTAAAATGGTTTTTATGAGTATCCCTTATTTTCCCTTCTTAAATTGTTATCAAACAATTTTTATAATGAAATCTATCTTGGAAAATTAGAAAGAAAAATGGCAAGGTATTTATTGTTCTGTTTGCCATAATTTAGAACTCAAACTTAAGTATTTGTAGTTTTACATTCCTTTTTAACCCATTCAGTGGAGAATGTCAGCTTTTCTCCCAAGTTGTATGTTAAGTCTATTCTAATATGTACTCAACATCAAGTTATAAACATGTAATAAACATGGAAATAAAGTTTAGCTCTATTAGTGAAGTGTTAAATTTGTGTGCTTCAAGTAATGCCATTTTCAGGCCTACCTGTTTTAAGTATTCCTCCAGTTCAAAGAATTAGAAGATGAGAGAAGGGCAAGTGTCAAAGCTGACTCCTCTTTTCTGCTTTGTGCAACTGTATAGATGACAGTGCCTCTTACTAAGGAAGAACACTGGAGGGACACCAGATTTGAGAGAAAAGAGCATGATTCCTGTGGTAAGGCTTGAGATGCCTTTGACACATCTAAATGCAGGTATTAAGTAGGCAATTGATGATACAGGTTTGTGGATAGAAGGGCCTCGAGGTATGACTGATGTATACCTTGGAAGGTATACATCTTTGGAAGCACAAGGTCATTGGAAGCACACAGTAAAGGATACTTTTCTAGGGAGAGTATAGAGCAGGAGTTGGCAAACCCCAGGCCATGGGCCAAATCCAGCCCACCATCTGTTTTTGTAAATAATTTTATTGGAACATAGCCACACCCATTTATTTAGTTATTGCCTTTGGCTATTTTCATGCTACAGTGGCAACACTGATTAGTCGCAACAGAGAAATTATGGCTGCAAAAACTAAAATAATTTACTGTGAGGCCCTTTACAGGAAAAGTGCTGATCTCTGCTATAGAGTATAAAGGGAATCTAGGGCTAAACCATGAGTAACTCTTGAAGGTTAAGTGGCAGAACATGAGCAGACCAAATGACGAGCATAGCTAAAGAGATGAAAGTTCCAACCAGGAGTAAAGTCTCAAAAGCCAGAGGAAACATTTTTCAGCCCAGGTGTTGAATGCTGCCGAGAGATCAAATAGGGTGAAGAATTTAAAACAGCTACTGGATTTAGCCACCTGGAAATAATTGGTGCCTTAGACATGTTCCTTTCCAGATAGTAGAAGAGGCTCATTTCTGAAAGAAGCTTCCTTATATACCTCTTTGAATGTGGGGTGTGAAAAGGGAGGAGAGAGTGAGGCAATAGTATCTTTGTCCTTCTAGCTGTAGCCTTACCTCTGAAAAAGGTCCAGGAAAGAGGAAGGAGTTGAAAATAAAAGCAAAAAGAGATCAGTGATGATTTGGTGTTCCAGAGACGGTGGAGAAAGGTAAGATCCAAAGCACTTGGTAGGGTATTGGCCTTAAATGATAGGGGTTCTTCTATTCTAGAAGAAAGGAGAAGATGGGAGCAGGTGTCTACTTGGGTGTTCTGTGAAGTCAGAGGCCAGATCCCACTTGTACATGGTTTATTACTCATTCATTTATGTTCACCCCAGAGAAGCGCCATTCTTCATGGTTAGCAACAGAATTCAGTTAGAAACACAGTTATCCTGACCTGCTTTATTTATTTTTTTAATTCTGTAATTGGATACTGAGCTGTTATTTCTTTGACATGAAGTAGGGAATGCATGTTGTAATTTTTATAGAGATGGATTAACGATCTCGCTTACAAACTCTCTAGAATTGGCTACACATTTAATTCTGATTAGGTCTTCCTGACTCGCCAGAGGAGTTCTACCAGATCTCTGAGCCTCTCACTTTCTATCCCTTCCTCTTCAGCTAACAAACATGTTCCTTTTTCTCACACCCTTTTTAAAGAACTCCCTTGGTAACACCAGCTCTAGCCTCCCTTCTCCCATTTACATCAGACTTCTCTCCATTTACTGCCTCAACTCCCATTCAGTCATCTTCCATCTGGTTCTCACCCCTTACTGGGCAAAGCAGTGACCTTCTAATTGCCCAATGAATAAATTTAGTTATTATATTATCTGAGGGCTCTCCTGCATTTGCCACTACTAATAATTCATTTATTTACTACTTTCTTCTATGATGTTTTTGCGTCTTCTAATCCCTATGGACTGTCCCTTCTCTCTTGGTCTCTTCTTCACACACTTTTAAATGTTGGCACGTCCCGTTTATCTCCATGTTCATCTTGGCTGTTGTCAGCCATTCACGTGGTGTCAGCTGTGAGCTATCTACTACAGCCTCCATGCATTTATGTCTCCAGCCTAGCCTTCAAAATAGAATGATTATTCTACCTGTCAGTGATACGTTTCTACTCAGATGCAACAAATCCAAGCTTACCATATTCCCCCAGAACTTACTGTATTTATTTTGATTCTCTCATTTGGCAGCTCAGCCAGCCCCCAACATGAAACTTCCCTCTCCATTACCCTATACATTTAATCAGCCACATAATCCTATTGATTTACCTACTGA